AACAAAGACCGTCTTTTGGTAATAATAATTCATTTTCATGTTGATGTCAACATTTATTGTAAACAAAATTTTGACCAACACTGATCATTTGAGCATATATAAGAGGATGTTGGTGATAGCTTAATAACCTGAATTAGCTGTATAGCTTATTTGTTAAGCCATACATGATTGTTCGGTTGTGACTTAATGATATAGTTAGTGACTTCTTCGGTCTGCCAACTAATAGGTGTTGTCTACATTCAGCAGAAGTTTTTTCCATCGGTGCCCTTATGAGCTCTACATAACCTCCGGAAAAAACCCACCGTAACAAAAGCTCCTGGAAACCCCATGATCAAATGGATATCTTTTGTGGGTTTAAATAAAATCGAAACATTATTTTGCCGCCAATAATTTATGAAAGTGAAAAAAAGGAAGAAAATGTTTTAGCCCTCTATAACAAACCTCGCCAAAAGAAAAATTATGTTCTTACTAATCAAATATAAAAAATTGTGGGAATTTGTTCTTTCTTGAAGATGGTGAGGAAGGTGAAGAATCCAGAAAAGAGGGGGGGGGGGGGGGGGTTGGGGCACCTGCTCTTTTTTTCTTCGGTAGAAGAGAAGGGGTAGGGGAGGTGTCTTAAGGGCCGTTTACCTAAATGCTTATCGAGTAAGCGCTTACCTAAGGAAGTTGTGAATGACTTATACGAATGGTATTTATGAGGAAATATAGATGTGAATACGAAAGAAGCGTAACAAAGTTGAAAAACAAGAGGAAGATTTCATGGAGTACAAAGTTNGGAAGGTTAATGACAGCACCTGGTCCTTTTTGCTTCATTAGAAGAGAAGGGGTAGGGGAGGTGTCTTGTGTCTGATTCTTGTGTATATATGTGCATAAATATACATGATGTATACATATATACATCCATATATAGTGAGTGGGAGGCTTATTAATCATCTGAGATTATGTGAGATCTGTTTTAAACCACTTATTTGAATTTTGAGCCTATTTCAATTAGGGTTGTAAATGAATCTAACGTTTAGTGAAGCATCCATGAACTGCTCGGTGAGAAGTTCGTTTATTTAATAAATGAACTAGCATTAATAAGTTTTTTTATTGGTTTAGTTAAACGAACGAACATGAACATTAGTCTTGTTTGTTCATTTATGTTCATGAACCTTTGTTTATTTACATTCGTTTATATATTAAATTTAATATATAATTTTTTATTTATTTAGTTTAAATTCAAATAACATTTATTTAAGTTTTAACTTTGTAGAATTTATTTTGATTTAAATTTCATCATCATTTTGTTTTATTTGAAATTTTTATCTTTTCATTGTTTATGTTCGTTTAGGCCTGTTCGTTTATGTTCGTTCGTTTAGTATGTTAACGAACGAACATGAACATACCTTATTTCTAAACGAACGAAGACGAATACAAAGATTTTCGTTCGTTTACCATTCGTTTGTTCGGAAGTTAAACGAACGAACATGAACAATATTCTGTTCGTGTTCGTTTGGTTCGTTTACAGCCCTAATTACAATGATCAAAATTGGATATTCAATTGTAATTGAATTGTATTGAACCTAAAATTCCAATATTCAAATTAGATCAACCGGTTGTCATTAGATTATACTTCAAAATCTAAAATATACAAAATTTATTGGATATTCAAATGTGTTGCATGCATGCGAAGGTTTCTGTGTATTTCTTGTGAACGTTCGTACTCTTTTTCCTGTGAAGGTTTGATTTTTTTGTTGTTGTTGTGAATGTTTGTTCTGTGAAGGTTGATGAGATGAGAATTTCCAATGTCTAAGATGTGCTTTTATGGATCTCATGAAAAATAGTGGTCTCATATGATCCCAATTTGCCTTCTAAGATTCAAGAATGAATGATTTATTTTACATGATATTTGTATTTGGTATTTTGATGCTATACTTGTGTTTTTTTAATTAATTTATGATTTCTGCTTATAATTAGAGGGAGACTCAAGGTAAAACTGCAAAAAATAAATAAAACGAAAAACTAAGGAGCACGTTGGTAATCATTCATTTGATGGTGTGCACATATGTATATATAGGCAAGGGTTCAAACAAGAATATCCATGTTTTACGAAAATGTGAAAACATTTCTAGGCCTCGAAATTACTTAACTCATAATTAAAATTAAAAGAAAAGAAAGTAAATAGAGAAGAATAATAATGTGTTTTCGTATTTATCTATAATCTTGGTGATTTCATCATCCCTAAAATCACGTACATATAATATATACTCACCGATCATAATGTATTACATGTGATAAATATGTTGGTTATGCATTGAAAGATGTTAGCAAAATCACATCATTATCAAAGCATTAATTATCACATAATTATCACAGAAAAATCATATTATTATCACAATATTATCACATCATCATCGATAGCAGAGACATCGACGAAATAAGTCTTCCATGAAACTAGCAACATTTAACGGATAAAGACAAATATAATGTAACCGAAAATTGTTGATAAATACTAATTTAGTTTTGTTTATTCTACTTCCATTATGGGTAATTAAATTAATTTGTAGGCCCCAAAATATTCTCGTATTTCCATAGAGAAGGGTACTCTCATTTGAATCTTCACGCGCGCACACACACACACACATATATATATATATATATAT